TATATATATATATATATATATATATATATATATATATATATATATATATATATATATATATATATTGTCCGTTTTATGATGGGTCAATCCGGCCTCTTGAATCATTTATCGATCCAAACACATACATTTAGTGTTTTTGAAATCAAAGTCGTAACGAAGATTGTGCATGTTTATGCGGGTATGGGAATGGGAGACAGTGAGTATTAGATGATTTTCAGAGAATAATGGTGGTATTGGTTTAAGAACATAATGGAAAAAAATGTATTGACATGCAAATTGGTTGCATGTCTGGTTTCTTTAAGATAGTAGTTTTTATACTAATTAGTATCACGAAGATAAAATCTGGATAAAATATTTAATGTTAATATAATCAAAAGCACAAGATATAGAAATACCATTGGTAGGTTGTCCGGTGATTATGGTTTGTGATTGACGTGGATGGTGGTTTCTTAGGATGAAGATGAAGGTAAAAGAATCTGGGGAGGATCACATTTGATAATTGTGATTTGAATGGTTCAGTACTAAAGGTACATTTTTCGCAACAAAATCCAAACTCTGGGACGGAATCATCAGGGAAAAAAACTTGGACTAAGAGTGAAATCTTTTGCCAACCATAAAGATGATTTCTGTAAATCTTTCAAAATATATGTAATAATTTGTAAAAAGATCAAAGGTAAGGGGGTAAACGTGTGATGATGGAAAGTAGGAGGATTGAATGACGTAATTGGTTACGCTGAAGAAGGCGGGTCCACCATGTGTCTAGAAACAACCAAAAAACCTGTTCTTTCAATCAACCGCCCAATTACGGTTTCGTACACACTCGCCCTTTCACTCTCAATTAACCTTCCTATTCTATATATATCACCACTTTTAAATCGACATACCTTTTTCTAGAAGCAAATAATTCGTAAATTCGGATTTTATAATCCAAAAGGAGTTTATATGATAATCAAACATTTAAAATACACTTTGATAAACCATGATACCGTAATCTGTGTTATCTATGTGCTAATCAAATAATCATTTGTTAAAAGATAGAGTAGTACAAATTAGATTCAAATCTTTTAAACAATGTTATATTTTTAATACATATCCAAATCATAGATATATTTTAATTTGTAGTACATTATTAGATACCAAAGAGAACAATTTTGGTACGTAACATTTTTAACTTCTTTCTAAAGTACTTTCAATGATAACCATTTTAAAAAGATTGTTATTTTGCTATATTAGCATTCCATTACACTGTATTGTTTAAAACTTAGTCTAAAAGACTTCCTCTAATGCAATAATTTTTCACAAACCCTTTTCAATTAACCTCTAATATTATATTTCAAGTATATGTTTCTTTTTATTTAAAATGTATCATAATTAAATGAATTGATGAGAAAAGCACCACATATTTTTGTAATTTTCATTTGATAATAATATATAATAATAAAAGGTATAGTTGTTTACTCACTTAAGGAAGATCAAAATTATTACTTTTGGAAAAAGATACTATTTAAAATATTTTAAAATTGTCTATGAAGTTTAAAGTTTATATTAAATTCATAACAAAAATGAAAATCTAATCCTAAAAAATACAATTAAGTAACAAAACAAAATCAGAAATTTATTAAAATTTTACAATATTTTTTGGATTTATCGATAATTTGGGTTTATCGACGATTTAAGATATTTCTTATAATATTTTTTTCAAAAATAATAAAACTCTTTATATTAGATGGGAAAAAGCTAAATCCGCAAATGCTGGGTGAAAGTACAACATTTACAGCAACATGTACACATGCTTATTCTGAATTCCACACTAGAAATCTTTTTCAACACCTTGAATTGGAATATTCGCATCCCTGGACGAAAAATACGGAGGCGGTTTCTGTTATAAATGCCACATGCTCCTCCGTCTCTCCGTAACAACTACCCACCAATCAAACCAACCTAACATGACCGAAGCTCTCAACAACGATTATCAAGTCTGCGAGGAGATCGGCCGAGGTCGCTTCGGGATCGTCTACCGCTGTTACTCCACCGTCTCCGGAGACTCCTTCGCCTGTAAATCCATCGACAAGCGCCTCCTCGCTGACCCAACTGACCGTGAGTGCCTCCAGAAAGAACCTAAAATCCTCCATATTCTCGGCGGAAACTCTAACATCGTCCAGATCCATCGTCTCTACGAGGAAGAAAATTACCTTCACATGATTATTGACCTCTGTGACACTCCTGACCTCTTCGATCGTATATCCAAACGTGCCGAAGGGTTTTCCGAGACCGAAGCGGCTTCGATTTTCTCGCCGTTGATGCTGTCGATTAGTTATTGTCATCGTTTGGGTATTGCGCATCGGGATATTAAGCCGGATAATGTTTTGTTCGATTCTAGAGGGAAGTTGAAGCTGGCGGATTTTGGATCGGCGGAGTGGTTTGGGATGAATGAGAGGCGGACGATGACTGGAGTGGTAGGGACGCCTTACTATGTTGCGCCGGAGGTTTTATCTGGGAGGGAGTACAATGAGAAGGTCGATGTGTGGAGTGCTGGTGTGATTTTGTACATAATGTTGGCTGGAGTTCCTCCGTTTTACGGTGAAACACCGGCTGAGACTTTCGAGGCTGTTTTGCGCGGAAATTTACGGTTCCCTACAAGGATTTTCAGGTCTGTTTCGCCGGAAGCCAAGGATCTGCTGAGGAAGATGTTATGCAAAGATGTTTCCAGAAGATTATCTGCAGAGCAAGTCCTGAGTAAGTCGTAAACCTGATATCTCCTGTTTGTTTCTTCCATAAATCAAACAAACAACAGTATTACATATAATCCAAGTTACCCTAAATCTTGTAAATGTTGTAAATCTTATTTTTACTTTGATTAGAGTTTTGGGAATGGGTATTTGGGTAAATTTCTAAGATTACTTTGGTAAATCCCTCTACAGGGCACCCGTGGGTTGTAAGTGGTGGCGAACCCCGATCTATGGCGGATCTAACCTGAGAAGAAAGCCATTTTCAACTCCTGGCCAGAATCAACAAGCGTTTTTTCATCTGTTGATTTTAATCCGTGATGAGTCAACAGAAAGAAAGAGAGAGAGCGAAAGTTCAATGAATCTTTTAAGTTGAGGAAGTCTGCATTTTCTTTGCCTTTTTTTCTTTTTGTTTTTGGTCTTGTATCAAGATGAATGATCAGAATGAATCATCTAAGTAAAGAGTTTTGTATATATAGTGAAGAGAAAATAGAGAGGCTATGATAAATAAGGCGTTGATGTAAATGTTCATGGCCGATGATGAGAAATCAGAGAGATGATAGATGTAATCCTTTGTTTTCCTTCATCTGGTTTTGTTTGCCCTGGATATGAATAATAGACTTGTAATTCCTATGAACTTGTTGTTGTGAAAGGGATTTGAGGTCTGTTAATTGTTAATGGCGAAATATAAGTTCTTAGATTCCCTACTCTATAAGCAAATTAAAAAATTTTCAATCGGAATCTTGACAATTCAAATGACAAGGGTTTATATTTATTTTTTGGTGAGGTGTGCAGTTGAAACTACAATAATGTTCATGATGCTTATATATTTTATATCATCAAACGCAAAAAAAAAAAAAAAAAAAAAAAAAAATTAATACTTACTTGATTAAAATATTCGACGTGTGATTATTGATTGTATGTTTTGTAAGATTTTTGCTATAAATTAAAGTGTCATATAAAATACTATTTAAAGTCGAAAGAATTAGTTCATCAAGGTTAAACTTAGTAATTCAAAATAACAAATTACTGACGAACTAAAAAAAACAGCACTCAAATCATATATACTTATAAAGCTAGTATTTTTTCTTGAATCTTATGTATTTGAAACCCCATTTTTTAACTTCGTCAAACTACATTCATTTGAAACCTTTTTTTTAACTAATGCAACTCAAAAGTTTTCTTAATTATGATTTAACACTCAAAAGTTTTATAACTTATATTATGTTTAATTAGCATTTAGTGAAAAGTTTACTATAAAAATGTCAATCTTTTGTGTTATATAAAATCTTACATGTAAGAAGGATGTCATAAGAAAATGAAATGAAAAATTTTCAATAGGCAGAATTCTTTTAGAACGTATTTACAGTGATGAAGTCCCAAAAATAGCTCTACAAGTTATGGTTATGGATGAATGTATCATTTTTTACTGATAATTTGATCGTGTTATATTTTTTATTCCAGTAATATAAATGAGACCATTCAAAATCATATGTTTAGAGATATTTTGTTTTCTCAAACCATACCATTGAAAATCATATGTTTAGAGATATTTTGTTTTTTCTCAAACCATATTGATTTGAAACCTACATAACTTTTTATATTCCTTAATTAAAACCATTTATAGTATTTATAAATTTCCAATAATTTTTTTGCATTCTATTATTATATATGTAGTTATATTAGTACATTTTTCTTACAAAAAGTCGTCATTTGGTTGAAGATATTGTGGTTCAAAAGTTTTCATATAGTTGAAGCATTCACGATCCAAATATGATGATTTGAAGAAATGAGTTATGTGGCATCGATGGTAATTGTAATATTGTTTTTTCTTTGAACCAAAACAAATGAAGTTTTTCTATTCGTTCTTTATATTCAGTTTCTCATTTAATCTTTATATGTGATTTGTGTGTATTACTCAATCTTGAATGCGACTCTCCAAACATCAATGTTTTGCTTGAAATATCTTTCTGATTCTTCTTTTTTCAAAAAAAATATTTTGATTGCAGGTTTGTGAAGAATTGTCATCAAGTTTCTATGGTTGAATGGTGTTAAATGAAGAAAGAAGATTCATAAAATGAATATAGGTTTTTTTGTTTGAGCAAAGTTGACGAATGTTAGTTTTTTCTTTTGATTTAAATGCATGTTTATGTAGCATTTTTATTTATATATTCAACCACCCAATGCTCTTATTTATTTGATTGTAGTTTTTCTATTTTGATTATGTTTATTTTCTATTATTTTTCTGTTGGGTTATCCTACACAACATATTTACAAGAAAATATTTAAAAAATAACATAATTTTTAACATTTGATATGTAATTATGATAGACTTATCATGATATGTTCATCATATGAAAGTAATTTATCCATATTACTACGACAAGAATTACATACGACATTTATGAAAATATATATATTATATGTGATTTGTTTAACATGTATATGCACCTATGTATGTTATAAATTC